TAGGAACAGGGCTGCGATGTCTCGATTGGACTCTACTTGCACATCGCAAGGCCAAACTGCCTCGCCGCCGCACCTACCCTATTCCAAACACTCCAGCTCCTGGAGCAGCCCCTGCCGCAGCCTCGCCGTGCGTAAAGGGCTTCCACCAACCAATGCCAGATTGGATGCCACCTGACTGGCTAGCACAGCTAGGAAAGTCCAATCACAGTACTGGCGCGTCCGGCCATCATAAACAGGTCTCCTCTACTTTCCGCAGCAGACCACACGAGTCCAAACTCGACCAGGAGCCACCGTCTCAAAATGCATCTCACCGAGCAACGCTTACCGATCTCCGTGCAATTGAGCGACACGACTACCGACCGTGGCCGCGCTTGCCTGCAGATGATGATCTTTCAGCACAGATTGCCGAGCACATGGCCAGAGACCAGGCATACGTAGAGCCGGCAGCTGACTTCACCTTTGGCATCCTAAAACCCGACCATATCACAGAGGTTGTTAGAGTCAGACTAGAGCCACCAGCAGATGTCGAAACTGCACTTGCACTTCTTGGAGAAGCAAGGGATCAGGTCCAAGCCAGACTTTTTCCTGCGTTAATACCAGTCCGCCCTATGCCGTCACCGAATTTCGGACTGGTAATAGCCTTGCCTGCTTGGACAACCACAGACGTTTTCTGTGCTTCGACCTGCAAGAGGTAGATGGACGGCTTTACACAGACGCCGGACCGACCGCGGCTGACTGTACCACTCTACTTAGGCTGGTTGGCTTGGCTCCCGATTCCCTAGTCGATGTTTATTTGGGTTCTAGTCCTGACCCCATGCAACCAGGAGAAGTAGTGGAGCTGCACAATAGTATGAGCGTTTTCTTCACTCCACGTCACTCTTTGCCCGGCGCGTATTTCTTCTTAGAAGATATACTCGTATCTTCACACTCTTGGGACGATCGGCCTTTTGTGCCCCTAGGCCCCAACGACCCTTGCATGTGTGTCGTGACCGAAGCCGGTACCAAAGCAGTTTGCTTTCCAGAAGAAGACACGTACGGAGACAGACAGCTCCTTGCCAGGTATTTACAGGTTTCGCCCGAGGACCTTACTATTCAGCCTGCCATACCCCAGGTTCGGAATGCTGCGATTCAGGGTCGTCCATGTCGCGGTGTATATGGAGTTTCAGGGCCCATCACCAATCCAGCATCTCCAGGAGCTGGACCTGTCACCTCTGTCCTCGGCCTAGTCGACTGCCGGGCCATGCTCCAAGGTTGGGAATTACTTGCTACCGTAGCGAGCAGACTACCCTTTTCAGAATTTTTCGACCTCCTGAGCACATTTGCCCCGCAGGATTGGGAATTATATCTTGAAAGGGCAGTCGAGCAAGAGCATCTTCTACAATACTACCCAGGAGCGGTAGTCTTTGCTTCCTTTGTCCCCACTCGGACGCAGCAACCCTCTCCGCCACATCCTCTGGAGGCCGAACATTCAGACAGTGAAGAGCCTACCGATGATCAAATTGTCCTGGATGCTCCCCTAGCCGACAGTCTCCCCGCAGGGACATTGCCGCATCCCGCTGCTATTTCCGACCGCGACTCAAATACCAGCATGCGCAGCCGGTCACCCCACAGGCCTGCAACCGCCACCAGCTCAGATGCCACCTCGCCACAGTCTGCTGATAGTGAAAGCTGCCAACAGGATTTTAGGGCATCAGTTGTTGTTTTGGTTCCTGAATGCATCCCTGAGATCCTTCAGATTACTATACCCCATCAAAGCACTCTTACCACCGTTTGCAAGCTTGTCCGGGATGCCCGCCCCAGCCAAAGACAGCGTACCTTTGCGTGCTTATTCCCAATCCAACATCAACCGCAGCACTCGTATGCTGCGTTCTTGGCCTTGCCAGAATGGAGCGACTGCTTGTATGTTGTGTTTGACTGTTCCCGAATCAATCGGGCCATCTTCTGTGCCCAGGTTCCAGGCCAGACTGACAGAGCATCCCTCCTTGCAACTGCTGGCTTCCCGCCCACTGCCGACTTTGAGGTGTATGTTCAAGGGCTCCTTGGGCCCCTCTCTCCAGCAGAAAGGGTTGATCTTGCCACTGCTTGCTGTGTTACACTTGTGCCTCCGACAGGTGGTACGATTTCTTCCCATACCCTCGAGGAGAGACTTCTTAGTCCTCTCGGTTGGGACCTTGAAATCAACCTCCCCATTCGACACGGCACCTGGCTCCAAGTGCTTACGGACGACGCCACTGTCTGGCTGCAAGTCCCTGCGGACTACCGCCGTTTTGCCAAGCAACATATAGCTGATGCACTGCAGAGCGACCCCGACAGGCTATCTATACAGCCTGCCAGGCCTCCCATCAGGGATGCCTACCACCAAGGCATTCTCGCCGACAACGTCTTTGTTGCTACGACTGAAAGTCTCGCCCCTGCGTCTCCAGGACAAGATCCACCTGCTATCTTCTTTCTTGATGCCAGGCCAGTGTTAGGTGGAATCACATGGACCATTGCGCCAGCTGGAGTTGTCCAAGAGGCCGCTCTGCTGCAGCAGGCAGCACTCAGGCCCCCGCCAGGTACTAAGATATCCATACTTGGGGGTAGGCGCAGTGTTTTTGATAGTCTTTATGTGCATAATGGAGAAGTGCTCACACTCTGCTTTGAGCCAGACACTAATGCTCCTCCAGCCCATGCAGATACAGATGACCAGACATCTGACAGTGATACTGATCGTTGTGATACCGATTCCGAAGAGGATTCAAGGAATAGCGCCGATCAGTCCCCAGTCAGTCCTACACCACGCAGAGTCCGCCAACGTACTGCAGCAGGGCCACACCATGGCAGAGCGAGAGGGCACGTTATTGAGGATGCCTTCCCCACAACGTTACTTGACAAGCACCGTAAACAGGGAGCTACAGTCGATGCTGGGACCGGCACCCTTGACAGCTTTCTTCAACTACGCGCCGACTGCCTCCCAGTATCCGACCCTACATCTCGTCTGAGGAGTTTCACATCGAGCCTGAGCTGTCCCCTGAGTCACTTCCGCCATAGCCTTGATTGGAAGCTTTCCACACCCTGTTTCATACAGGACCTGTGTCCATTTCAGGCTTGGAAGCGCTCTTATGCTTCCAGCGATGCAGAAGCGCATGCCCCCTTGGGTGGAAATACTTCCACAACTTCTGCTGCAGCCGTGCCTACCCTCCCTTCAAGCACTTTGCCTGCTGTCACAGAAGGACAGACTAACCTGGACCAGACCTCCCTTTCTGCCACCACAGACCCAGGCCTTCTGTTACAAGTGCCTCCTGCATACATTGATGCCTCTTTCTTCATCTTGGGGCAGGATTGCCTGCCTGAATGGATACAGGTCCGTTTGTCTGTCGGACTTCCTGTTGCAGAAGCTCTTGCCCAAGTTGATGCTGCTCGAGACCCCTACAGCAGAGAACGTTTTCCTGTGCTGCATGCTGCCAAACCACAGCCATACCCGCATGCAGCGATTTGCGTTGCCGTACCCTCCTGGTACAACACCTGCGCTGTTGTTGTCCTAGATTGCAGCGCCATTGATGGATATGTTTTCGGTCTTGCGGTGCCCCCACGCATAACAAGGCGTCTTGTTCTGCTAGCAGCCCAGGTTGACGACACCGATGATTTTGATGTTTTCATCCGCACAATGCCTTGGCCTATACCGGAAGGGTATCCTATCGATCTCCATCACGGAGATCTCATCCAGATCGCCAAGAGCGATCAGACTGTAAGCTTCCATGGCAACACTGATGCGATGCTTCGCACCGCAGATGGCTGGGACGCTTCTTGGACACTTCCGGGAGATTATGCCGAGAGGGCATGGGTCTTAGCCGATTCAGGTTCTAGGTGTATTACTATACCGCCTACTCGTCGCAGGTACTTTCGGCAAGACCTAGCTCAAGTGCTCTCTGTCCCTCCCGGTCGATTGCTGTTGAGGCCTGCGCAGCCTCCCTTGCTAGATCAGGCCCATTGTGGCCAGATCATCCGACACTTGTATGTCGCCACCTGCAATCCCGTCCCAGTCGACTCTGCAGGGCGTCGGCTACCGATCTGCCTTCTTGATCTTAGGCCGATCATGCTGGGCTTCGATTGGTATATTGCCCCCACAGGTGCCCTACACGGCCAACGCCTACGGGAACGTTTCTCACATCGTGCCCCATGGTACTTGGTTTTTCCAAACATAGGTACACAGTCCGGCCACTTGGAAGAACACTACATGTCACAGATGGAGATATTATCGCACTGCATTTCCTTGTGCCCCCACCCAACGACCTGTCTAGTTCTGACAGCGATGCAGATGACGGGACTGCCCCCTCCCCCTCTCATCACCAACCCACGAGGGTCAACCATTACCATGCGGACGGCAACCCGCCTCCTGCACCACCCTCCGGTGCTGCCGAAGGGCCTCCAACAGCCGACGATGCTGGAACGGGAGGAACCGGACATGCCTGCACCGCTACAGCCCTCGGGCTACATACCGATTGCCAGCCGAATCTTGATGATGTCACGTGGAACCGGGGACATGCCTACCACGCCCGTCCAACCGAGCCCCCCAGGGACACCTCTGTTGCCATCAAGATTTCCTCGCAACGGCGTTTTGAGCAATCACATGGCCCATCACTTTCAGTCCATCGACCTGGCCATATGAGGCTCTTCTGCCTCTTTGGTGGGCTGCATCTACCATGGGCCATCCTTTGCTCGGTGTGCTTCTGTCCTCTTCCAAGCCAGAACAGCCTCCGCCCCAAAAGCCTTATCAGTCATTCGACACCTGTCTTTGGTGAACGGCTTCACCGAGGACTTGCTTGGTTGCTCTTGCCACAGTATTTACTGCCCGCGGTGCAAGCAATGCCAGTTGTTACACACCTGCAAGACAAGGCTGGAGAGCCATTAATCCCATGCCCTTCTGGACATGTCCTATGTGCCAGACCCGTGCCTACCCCGTGCAGACGTTCTCACGAGGTCGGACGCCTCGCTGCACATGAGCCTCGGGCCATATCTATATGCCTCCGGTTGCTTTTCAGGATGACTATGTCGTCGAGCACGACACAGAGTGGTTCACGTGCATAGGCCCCACGCTCCTGCAGCAGGCCGTTGCCAGTCCGGAATGCCAGGCCTTTTATCTTGCCAGTACCTTGCTCGAAACATTGTTAGAGCACCAGGTGTCTTGTCATCAGTTGCAGAACGTAGGCTGTCAAAGACAGTGCCTTACTGTCTCACTGGAGCATTCAGTGCCTGTCACCGCCCATCAGACCAATGTCCTGCAACTGGAAAGCTTGCTCCCGCACAACCAAGAGAGGGATGGTCTCGCAGCTGGCCACGATTGGCTTGATTGCGACCTACATCACTTTCTGCAGGACAGCCACATTCCCCTAGAGTTGCGTACTCGCTTTGCGAATTTCCACTCTTGGCATGATCACGGCACCCCCGCACCAGACTACGTGTCAGTTTATACAGACGGCTCTGCCACTGGAATTGGCGAACACCACCCAGACGCAGTTCCTTGTTCTTGGGCATTTTCTGTGTGGGCCCATTCTTCCGGCAAGCAATACCTAGTAGGATATGCAGCGGACCAAGCCACTCCAACTGGCACTCCTTTCCACCTGCTCGAAACTACAGATACTGCTTTGACAGGCGAATATCTTGCCCTGGCCTGGGGTCTTATTTGGGTTGCAGAGCATGGCTGCCAGCATTGCTCTTCGTTCGGCTTTTACTACGATGCTCTAAGCGCAGGCAGTGGTGTTTTTGGCACAGCCGCCATACCCACCGGAGCCGAATACAGACCCATTGCCTCTTTTTGTGTCTACCTGCGACAGTATGTGCAAACTCTAGTACGTCTAGAGCACTTCCATGTCCAAAGCCACAGTGGCCAGATACAAAACGAATTCGTCGACCAGCTTGCCAAACAAGCCCGACGCCGCCCGACTGACGTCTGGGACCGATGTTTGCCCCTTTGGCCTGCACGCTTATGCCTGCATCCCTATGCATCGTGGGCCTGGGCCACACGACCTGTACACCCAGATTTGCCCACTTTCTACAGTTTCGAGTCCGAAGCGTACAGACTCCAGGGTCTCACTCGGAGCAGCACGCATGCTCCCACACAAGGACTACAGAGTATTGCCCTCGCAGGCGGTCATGCAGCTTTCCACTTTGGGCTCATAACTGTCAATGTGCTCACTCTGCGAGATGTGCCGGACAAGGCACACTCTGTCCAGCCAACCGGGCTTCGACTCCCTGGCCGCAAAGGCATCCTGAAACAGACACTAGCACCACACCGACCCTTATTTATCGGGATCCAGGAAACACGTCTCCAGACTGATTCTGTGCAACCAGATGCAGACTACCATATCCTGCAGTCCAGTGCTACAGATGCGGGCGTAGGAGGCTGCGCTCTGTGGGTCTCCAAGACCCAGCCATATGCTACGTGTGGAAACAGCAAGCTCTACATCGAAGCCAATCACCTTACGGTAACCAGTCACGGTTTCCGACATCTTATTGTCACAGTTTCCGCACCACGCCTGCTACTCCAAGTCTGCGTGTTGCATGCCCCTTCCTTAGCCAACACACCTCGACAGACCGTCGAAGACTTTTGGGACACACATGCCCAACACATCTGCACGAGACCGGAAGGGGCCGACTTTATCATTCTCCTCGATGCCAACTCGAGAGTTGGGAGCGTCGTGTCGCCCCACATCAATGACAAGGATTTTGAGATAGAAACCGAAAGTGGTGCCCTTTTCCATGATTTTCTTGTCCGTGTTGACGGCTTTCTGCCCACCACTTGGCCAGAAATTCATACAGGCTCCTCTGGCACATGGTGCTCGCCCCAGGGCGATTGGTCTAGGCTTGATTACGTCATTCTTCCATGTTCGTGGCAAGGCGCCACACTGGAATCCAGAGTTTTGACGGAGGCAGAAATGCTCCAAAAACGAGAAGATCATCTTCCTGTGTATGTCTCTTGCTCTTTTGCAAAGAGCCTCCCACCAGACTCGTACATCAGCACCCGCAAGAAGGTTATTAGACCAGCACCAACTCAACGCAACACTCCGGAGGCGCAGGCAGCGCTTACAAGAGTCCCTGCCATTGACTGGACTGTTTCAGTTGACCAACATTGTGATACGCTTGTCCATGCTTGGCACAACGCAGCTGCACCATTGTGTTCGACTGACCAGCCCAGGCCCCTCCAGGCATACCTTGCCTCCACTACACTTGACATAGTGTACCACCGCCAAGCCTTACGCAAGTATCTTTCTCAAGAGGCCGGTGAGCTCAGGCGCCGCCTATCCCTTATTGCGTTTGCTGCCTTTGTCCTTCATACTCAAGGGCGACGCTTTAACCCAAATGCTGTTGCCAGGGCGGATTTCTGGTTGCGTGCCATGGATGTCAGCGAAGCTGCCGCCGTTGCCCTTCTGCACTGGTATGGGAAACAACTTCGAGTCGCAGTTGCCAATGACAGAAGAACATATCTTCAAGGTTTGACTCTGTCAGCGGCACAGGCTGACTTCCGCAACCCTCGAGATCTCTACCAGGCAATCCGCAAAGCCTTCCCTGCCGCCAAGGCTTCCAGGCGCAGCCATATACTGCCCCTTCCAATACTGTATCGGGCGGATGGCACGGTTGCCAGCACCACTGACGCAAGAGCACAATGTTGGACGACACACTTCGCAGCCCAAGAAGGAGGAGTCGTCGTTTCTGCCGAGGAATACATGAGCCATGTCGCCGACATGAACCGCCGAGTTCGCCAGCCCGTCTTCAACTGTGGCACGCTCCCCACCCTTTGTCAGACGGAACAGGCCATCCACGGACTACACAACAACCGTGCCGCGGGACCGGATGGCACTACTGCGGAAGTTCTCAAGGTTTCCGCTTCCCATTCCACGCGACAACTGATGCCACTCATCGTCAAGACAGTGCTCAGCATCCAAGAGCCAGTCTCTTGGAAAGGTGGCACCCTGATGGTGCTTGCCAAGAAAGCCTGCGCAAAACTTACCTGCGAGAACTATAGATCAATCCTTATATCTAATGTGCCAGGTAAGGTCTTTCACAGGTGTCTTCGCTCGGGCCTTAAACCATACCTCCTTGCCTCTCAGCCCGCATTACAAGCAGGTGTCCAGGAAGGAGTCGGTATAGAGGTTCCAGCTCTTGCAATTCGTAGCTTCATAGCCCTCCACGATGGACTCCGGAGGCCTTGGGGAGTTATCTTTGTGGATCTTGCTGCAGCCTTCTACTCCGTCTTGAGACAGAGCCTCGTCCCTAACCCAGATACTGACGAGGGATTTCTCAGCCTTCTGCATTCCCTGCAGCTCCCTGATACAGCAGTGCAAGAACTCCATGCACATTTGCAGGCTGCTGCCGAACTCCCACTCCAGGGAGCTACGCCACATCAGGTTGAGGTTATACGAGACCTATTCACGGGGAGCTGGTTTCGACTTGCCACTCACCCGACCATCGTCCTCACAAAACGAGGGTCCCGGCCAGGTGACCCACTTGCAGACATTCTATTTGCCTTTACCCTTTCTGCCTACTTGCGCAAAGCCCACGAGCTGCTCGAAGAAGCCGGGGTCCTACAGCCGCTCCCGAGACCCGACTCTCGGCCCACATGGGCACCTTGCTTGGTAGATTATGAGTTGGGCAACCCAGCATGGGCAGATGACTTCACCTGGCCCGTCTCTGCACCCAGTGCACCGGATCTGCTACGTCATGCTGCCACCGGCACGTCTATCTTGCTGTCTCATGCCTCCAGCATCGGCATGAAGCTTAAGTTTGGTGTCGAAAAAACAGCCCTCCTTCTTTCAGAGGCTGTTAAGCGTGATGCTGCCTCCCTCCTTGACAGATCCTCTGATGGGAACCTTTGTCTTGCCATCCAAGATCACAGTACAGGCAACACGGAAGACTTGCCAATAGTGTCGGCATACCGGCACTTGGGAGGTATCGTCACCTCCACCTCCTCGCCAGTCCCTGATCTTCATCACCGTTTTGCTCGCGCAGATGGTACCGCACGGCCTCTACGTCGGGCTTTCTTTAGCTCCCGACAATTCCCGGTCGCCGTTCGCAGGTCTCTGCTTCAGGCACTCGTTGTCTCCAAATATGTTCACACAGGGGCCGCCCTCATTTTGCGGGCTGCATGCCATCTCAAACTGTGGGAGAGGCACTATATCTGCCTTTGGCGTAATTTGTCAAGGCGGATTGCCGCCGACCACCAAGACCATCCCTACATCGTCCTCTCCAGAGCAGAAGCAGGAGCACCCCCCCTTGCGCTCGCTAAAGCACGGGCCACTTTCCTCGCGAAGGTCTTTACCAAAGGCCCAGCCCCGCTTGCTGCTTTCCTCGTTGACCATTTCCTGCTCCACCCCTCCTCTTCGTGGCTTGATCAGCTCCGTGCTGATGTGGACTTCGTTGCTCTGTACTTGCCCTCTGTCAGAGCTGTACTTCCAACACAGAGAGAAGTAGGGTGTTTGGTCGAGGCTGCCCAGGACGATCCACACTGGTGGGTTCGCACTATCCGTAAGGTTGAAAAGCTCTACCTACAAGAGCTGCAACGATGGCAAGAGTCTCAAGCCCACGACTCTCCACCTGAGCATGCTGCATCCCATGTCACTCCCGCTGAAGCGCCGTTTATCTGCGGGACCTGCTCCAAATCATTTGTGCTCCGCAAGCACCTACATGTACACCTTGCAAGGGCCCATGGCTTTCTGAGCCCCTCCCGACATTATGCCCTCACAGAGGCTTGCACAGCTTGCGGAAAGTTCTATGGTTCCATTTCGAAGGTCCAACAGCACTTGAAGTGTTCGCACAAGTGTCTCAAACGATGCTCCATGCTCCATCCGCCCCTTACCAAATGCCAAATAGCGCGCCTTGAGGCGCCAGCTGAGAAAATAGCCAAGTCCATCAAAGCCGGTACGTGGAGAGCGTTTGTTGGCAGCGCGCCGCCCGCTCCTGCCCATACCATCGCTGGTCCTCTCTTGCCTACTGCTGCGGAACGACTCTGCGGGCTTGCCCCCGACGAGGACGCACTCCTCAGTGATCTCGGTCGACATTATGTCCCAACTCCTGCCATTACGGACTGGATCGACGAGTATATTGCAGGCAAATCTGTAGAAGGGCCTCGGACTACGGCCGTACGGTTTTGGCATCAAAAACCCACCGCAACTGTCGGTCGGTTACAACAGTTTCACTCGCATGCCAATAATTCAACAATTTTGGACGCGCCCTAATGAGGGCACGAGAGTCCGAACCAGAACCAGAACCAGAATATAATAGCTATATGAAGGGTATATACCTAGGGGTCCTTATTAAGGGTCCCTCCTTTTACCCTTGGAATGTCCGAAGCGGTCGGGCTGCGGACTGGCTCGTGGGCTTTATCCGCGAGGAGGGGAGGATAGGGGTGGGGATACTTAAAGGATCATGGGACTTAGTAACTAGGGCTATAATTAGGGTAACTGTACTTATAGCTACTTATAACCCCAATTAAGGTACTTATAACCTTACTTACTAAGTCCCATGATCCTCCAAGTAGAGCATCGCCATCCCACGCGTCATCAAGGCAAGTCCTGATCATCATCATGCTTATGCTCATCGTCGTCTTCATCATGGTCATCAGGAGCAGCGGCAGCGAGAAACCTACAAAACGTTTGGACCGCCACCATCAATGAAACCAAAGCTTTTCGAACCCTGACGGCAAAATCCTAGAGAACCGCTATGGAGCCCTTATAGACTCCTTAAAGCAAAATCCTGGAGAATCCCTATGCAGCCCTTATAGACCGCTTAGCCCTTAAAGGAGACGTTAAATGAACCAAGCTTTTCTGCTGAGGCTCGGTAGGACGTTCTGGACCTGCCAGCGGTGGGCCAAGTCCAGGGCGGCCAGCACAGTTCTGTAGTCCGGTTCCTTGTCTTTCTTGGGAATTCCAGACGGGCCAAGGGTTCGGAGTGGCTCTTTTCTTCGCAAATGCCACAAGAGTCTCTACGAGGTCTTGTGGGAATTCAGAGGGTCTTTCACAGAGGTGTATATACATCTATATATACTGCGCCCCCAAAGGGCCAACAATCCAACAAACATGCACGTCCGGAAACACGAACCTGCGACTACTGCAGGGGCCTTCATGAATAGAATTTTCCCCAGTGTTCTTTTCGTAAGTACACTATCCTATTCCCAAATTAAAACCCTATTCCACTTATTAAGGTCCCATATGTCTATCGTCATTCCTGGACACTTTCCCGACACCCTAAACCCTAGACCCTGAAACCTTTGAACCTTTACGGGGTTCTGCCATGGCTCGGTGCGTGTTGCCGTTGTGTAGAGCATCTCCAGAAAAAGCGACACCTGGCATTTGGGTAGTTGTCAAAATTATGGTCCTTTTTTGGATACCCTAAATACTAGGTGCCGTATTATAATAGGGACCCAAAACGGGACCCTAATATTGACAACCACCCACATGAAGAACTGTGGAGAGTATGCACAAGTTTTGATGAGTGCCACCTAGATGCGCCAGCACTTGGCGAATCCTTGATTTGAACCCTCTTGTTCGCACCTTCCTTCATGGTCGACTGCAACATTGCTTTCAGGACAGGGGATGTTGCCATCAAGATGTGATCATGAGCTGTAACTTCACCATCTGCTGTCTCAAAGGTCACATTGTGTGTCTCAGTCATCTCCAACACGGCTTCCCACTGATCCAGAAAACTTGGCTGGACTGTCACGAAATCCAGTGCCGGATTCTGCGCAAAGAGTGACATCACCTCGGTGTGGCTTAGCCCTAAGCCCTAAACCTTAAACCCTAAACCGCTGAACCCCTTAGGGTTTGGGGCCCATGGGGGGTTTAGGGCCGGTATGGCCGGTTCAGGGCTACTGTACGGGTTACGGGTGTATGAGGAGTTACCATAAGGGTCCCGGGAGCTTGGACTTGCCTGCTCTTGCACTCTTCCGGGAGTTTCCGAAAAATAGGGGCACCTCATTGTGGGGCCCCTATAATCAGGATCCTACTACTTAGGGTGCTATATTAGGGTCCCCTATTCTCGAAAATTCCCATTTCAGAGTTCAGGGCACAGCGCTGCAACATGCATCGGCGTCTTCGGGTACCATTGAAGGATACTTCTAGGGCCCAAAGACACTGTACGGTGCATAGGCGTTCAAAGAGGCAGGTATGCGGTCACCCGAGACTAGATCTATTTGGGAGTTTCCGAAAATAGGGGACCCTAATATAGTACCCTAAATAGCAGGACCTTTATTATAAGGACCCCAAAATAAGGTACCCCTGTTTTCGGAAACTCCCATTTCTGCATTCTTATGCTTTTCTCGATGCCGTGGGATCATTCCTAGTTACGACAGTTGGCCTCAACACCCTATCCCCGTAAATCACTAAACTCCTAAGGTTTAGGGTTTAGGGTTTAGAGTTTAACCCTGGACCCCACACCTCTTCCAGGTATCTCTGCGCGCTGGACCAGTCTGCGCTACTTTCCTGCAGCGCTTTCAGCCAAGCCAGAATGAAGGAGATGGAGGAATGCCCCGCGTAAGGGACGGTGACCTGGATTCCAGGGTTTAGGGGCGTAGGGTATACTACTATTGGGCTTTGTGGTTTAGGGGGGACTTTCGTCTGTCTGGGTCCGATACCTATAGTCATGTAATCCATGGTATAGGGCCTACAGCGCACTACAGAGCTTACATGGTTTATAAGGCTGATAGGGCTAATGGTGCAAGACTACGGCTTGTAAGGCTCATGGGCCCATAGGGCCTGCAGGGTTTACCTGTAGGATCATGGGACTTAGAAAGTAAGGTTAAAGGTACCTCAATGGGTTGTAAGTCATTGTATATATATATATATACGTATTTATATATATATATATACATATATATATATATATATTACCATATTTACAACCCTAGTTGCTAAGTCCCATGATCCTTTAAGTAGGGCCTACAAGGTTTAGAGGTTTCGGACCTTTGGGTTTGGGGTTAAGGATACCGGAACTTCCCCAACCGTCGAAAGAGACAGAAACACTTGTTTAGGGTTTAGGGTTTAGGGTTGCAAAAGCACACTGCTAAAGCCTGACAGGACCCCTTGTACAACGAGCCCATACAAATTCCCAACAGCAAGCCCCCTGTAGATCTTGTGAGCAAACTCGATACAGCCCTGTGAACAACAACAGTCAACCCTAACCCTAAACCCCAAAAGCGTAAACCCTAAACCCTAAACCCTATACAGATCCCTTTAAAGGAACCCTTGTGGATCCCTGTAAAGGAACCTTATCGATCCCTTTAAAGGAACCATATGTAGATCCCTTTAAAGGAGCCATATGTAGATCCCTTTAAAGAAACCCTATAGGTCTGGCCACCTTGGTCTTGCTCCCTTCCGTGTCGGATCGCTTCCAGAGGCTGATCGACGACGTGTTGGAGGAGGAGAACTTCTGCTGCGGGTCTGCGCCTGTTTTAGGGTTCCTTTAAAGGGATCTAAAGGCTTTAAAGGGATCTAGAAGGGTTCTATAATGAGGATTCAGGGATCGGATTTACGTGCAGGGGTTTAGAGGTTTAGGGTTTAGGGTTCAGGGGTTTAGGGTTAGGGTTGAGGATTTAGGGCGAACCTGCTTTGGCGCTTCTTTAAAGGGATCTATAGGGTTCCTTTAAAGGGATCCATGAATGTCCCTTTAAAGGGATCTATAGGGTTTAGGGGTTTAGGAGTTTAGGGTTTGGGGCGCACCTGCTTTAGGGTTTCCTTAAAGGGATCTAAAGGGTTCCTTTGAATGGATCCATAAATGTCCCTTTAAAAGGATCTATAGAGTTTAGGGGTTTAGGGTTTAGGGTTTAGGGGGCACCTGCTTTAAGGCTTCTTTGAAAGGGGTCTCTACGGTTCCTTTACTTGGAAGTCCAGGGGTAGTAGTTAAAAGGCGCCGTACATGTTCCTTTAAAGGGATCTCTAGGGTTTAGGGGTTTCTAAGTTCAGGGATGAGGATCACTTGAAGGATCATGGGACTTAGCAACTAGGCTTGTAAAAAAGGTAACTACATTTATAGTCACTTATAACGCAACCCCAATTGAGGTACCTGTAACCTCGATATGAGAGTCCCATGATCCTCCAGGCAAGGTTGAATTTTTAGCGCTCAGGGTTTCGGGTTCGAAGTTTCAGACTTTGGGCTTCAGGGTTTGGGGCTCAGGATTTAGGTTTCAGGGCTCGAGGTTACGGGTTTGGAGCTTTCTTCCCAAGAGTGTGCCTGGAATGGGTGTTATCCCAAAACAACCTAAGACAAGGAGAAGGAACCTCAAATTTGCAAGATTCGGGCGTGTAGCGCTTAGGAACGGGGAAAGGCCCTCTTTCAAGCAGCCGATATGTAATCTGAGCAGCATGATAAGACACCCATGGTAATATAAGGAATAGCCCTTAAACAGAATCAAAAGCCCTCGTTAGGACAGGTAAATCCCCTCATCAAGCAATACTGAAAGCCTCGGCTGGCGGGCACGGATTTAGTGTCTGAGGGCCTTGCGAGGTTTGGGATTAGGTACTTCAGGGTTTCAGTTTCACGGGGTTTTGGGGAGGGTTTGGCAATAAGGGTCTTTTAAGGTTTGAGGCTTAAGGCTTAAGCCCTTCGGATCTAATTCGGGGTCTGGAACTTTGGGTCCACATTCGAGTGCAGGACTTCGGCTTCGGGGTCTGGAACTTCGGCTAAACATTAGGTACGGCCCCCATACAGTAAGAGTCTATAATAAGGCTACTATTAAGGTCCTACTATATCTATATTATGAATATTATTCAACTATTTCTGAGTGGGGGCCGTAGCCCTGGTAAACATTCCTCCTGCACAACCCTGAAGGAATGATACCTCAGAAGGGCCCCCACCCTGTAACAGTGACTATAAGGATTATATTAGGGCCCTATTATATGCCAATTATACCACCATTACAGGGGTGGGGGCCCCTTCTAAATGATACCTGTAAATCTCTCAAAAACACGCGAATCCCAACATTTCGAAACCCCAAAAAATGGGGCGGGGGTTCCGAAAACAGGGGATCCACATATAGTACCCTGAACAGTAGGATCCTTATTATAAGGACCCAAAAATACGGTTCCCCTAATTTTCGGAAACTCCCAAATAGTTTGCGAGGCTGGCGACTTGGGAGGATGTAATATAGGGGCCTTAATATTTGGAATAGTGTTTTGGGTGGTATATTGTACTATACCCATAATAAGGAACCCCAAAAACAGTATGAGTAGTCATTTAAGACTCCTTCAAAGGTCAGGACAACAAGAAAAGCGTTTTGAGTAGAATGTCTTGATGACTTCCGGGCCTTGGGCTTGTTAGGGGTGGGATTCCCTAGACCGCGAAGCCCTCAACTAGCAATCGGAAACCCGAAGCCCCTATCTGCCTTGCTGCAGCATCCACTCAACCATGGCTGAGCTTGTTTCTCGCTTTGTTTGGCAGATCAGGCCATTCACGATCGCGTCCTCCAGGAGATGAATTATAGGATCCTTAAGGGAACCTTAGGGAGTACTAGGGAGAATTAGGGATCACTAGGCTATATACCCCCCTTGGACCCCCCTCCCTTAAGGATACTACAAATGAAGGAGCCCTACCTGACGGCCTGGAGCCTCAAATCACAACCCAAGCATCAAGCCCCAAAGCCCGAACCTCAAAACCCCAAGAACATCTAAACCGTAACACCCCCCTGAAACCTCAAGCCCTAAATCCCCAAGCCGTAGCATGAGTCCTGAAGCGGGGTGCAGTGCGGGCATTCGTCGTCAGTTTGCGTCCAGTCGAAACCCGGTGGAGTAAACTTCTTCAGGGCCGCGAGATCCCCCAGCCTGCTTCACTAATACAGGGAACTCCAGAAAGTTGGAATATGGTTTCAAGGTAGGATACCTTATAATTTACCATAAAGGGCTTAGGATAA